TGGATTTCCCGCCCAGCTTATTGCTGTCTCATAACCTGCCGTCACTTGGGGGATGTTGGTTGTCCCATTAATGATGATCATTCTTGGATAAACGTAACCCGGGCTTTTCCAGTAGCCAAAAGCTACGTAGATGAGAGCAAGATGGGCAGGTTGATAGTACCGCCAAACCAAAGAAACATTACCGCCGATGAAGACTTTAGTTGGTTTATCTGGCGTAGAAATAAATCTCTGGCGATCACCTGTTTGATACACAGAGCACGTAAATTAAATTTAAAAAAAAAATCAAAGTAGGTGTAATCAGTGAGTGACGTATTCTCACTCAGTCCTAATTATAATCATTATGCATTTNGATGGGCAGGTTGATAGTACCGCCAAACCAAAGAAACATTACCGCCGATGAAGACTTTAGTTGGTTTATCTGGCGTAGAAATAAATCTCTGGCGATCACCTGTTTGATACACAGAGCACGTAAATTAAATTAAAAAAAAAAAAATCAAAGTAGGTGTAATCAGTGTCTGACGTATTCTCACTCAGTCCTAATTATAATCATTATGCATTTAACAAATAGATTATTACAGTTTTCCATTGCCTATACTTGACAGTTATTAGATTATCAGTTCGATTTTTCTGTAGGTCAACAGTTACGAGAACGAGGAGTCTAATAGTTTTAGCAGAAACCAACTAGCATTGCTATTGTGTGTTTTCACATGACGTCATGGCGGCCATATTTGTGTCCCGAAACAATAAAACGGCGGCCATGTTGGTGTCCCAAACCAATCCTGTGGAAGTTGAACTCTTTTCTTATGTAAAAGCTTTCTTTTGTTCCAATAAATTTGCATAGATGCTGGCCACGTGAGTGAAAACACAGAATATCTTCCTCGACGCTTGTCACGTACTAGAAACACCTAAATTTTGTTCCTCTTAACATTAAGAATGTTCCTTCGGTTTTTATGGCCGACCTCTCTCGTTTCTCTTTTTCTGGGACAGTATTCATGATTGATTTGTTTACCTACATCTCTTACTGTAGCACCACCAAACCATGACATTTCGAAATAGTTTTGTTTTTGTTTAAAACGCCGACTCGCTACCCATGACAATGCCTATTATAGAAATTTATGAGTACGTACGTTAGCAACTCACTACGCAGAATTCTCGACAGTACTTATTTGCTAAGTGGTTCCTCGTCTGCCGATTGTATGTTAATTTTGACAAATAGATTCCATATTGTCGTGCGTCTGTTCAGTACAGACCACAGATGACCCCAAAATGTAGTAAGAACAAATTAAAGTGGCTCAGGAGTCGCCTGTTGCAGGCGTTCTTGCTTTTTTTTCCTGCTCACATTCCCGCCGCCCCTACAATGTGATGAACCAGAACAGGATAGCTTGTATAAGCCGCACGATTTGGTCACTTTTTATGCAGATTTCGACGTGTCTACTGCTGGCCTTACTGCTTAGTCGTCATCAGTCGATGAGGTCGACTATTTACACTTCAAAGACCCAGATGATCCGCTCTGAATGGGCCGGTTCGTTTTTAACAGCCGAGGTTTCGCATTTCAATCGTTGCTGCTTCTGTTTCGGTCTGAAGGATAGTAATGGCCCGTTAATAACAATTAAAAACGTGCGTTTTAAGAGAAACAAGGACGCATAAACGTACAATTATGACTTGAGACTTTTGAGCCGCCTGTCATCGCTCACTGTAGCTGGCGACGTTTTTCCACTCTCTGGCAAAACGCCGAAACGCGAGTCCCAAGCGGCGGCGGTGATGAAAGGCGGCTGTATTTGCAGGTTAGCATGCAATATTTTACTTACGTTTTTGTTCGACTTTAACCTGCACTGAGTCTCTCAACGGGTTATATCTATATCCAAACTCCAGATGTATTCCAAAATCCACAGTTCTGTCTGTTGCCTGAATATCATGCAAAACAAACGCTGCGAGGGAATTTGTAAGGTTTCCCGCCCAAATAATCGCTGACTCGTAACCTGCCGTCACTGTTGGAGTGTTGGTTGTTCCGTTCACTGTTATCATTCTAGGATAAACGTAGCCCGGGCTTTTCCAGTAGCCAAATGCTACCTTGATGAGAGTAAGATGGGAAGGCTTATAGTAACGCCAAACCAAAGAAAAGTTGCCGCCTATGAAAACCTTAGTGGGTTTATCTGGTGTAGAAACAAATCGCTGACCATCCCCTGTTGAATAATGAGATCAACTGAAACGTGAAGAAACCCCTGTATAGTTATTCCGAGATTCTTTTTTTTTCTTAATTTCTCAGAATCCATAAGGATTTAACGGAAATGTAAAATTAACTTCCCGTCAAATAGATTTTACAGTTACGGGCTCAGCATCCTAGCCTTTGAGTGGATGCGGTGGATGAGGTTGACCTTGTTTTAATACAAATCTCTTCTTTTTCTTAAAAACTCAGCAAACAACATACTGCTATTGTGGAGCTTTGATAATCATGGAGCATAATAATTATGGTAAAATATTTTGCAGTGGCATATAAAGCAGAAAACATAGCCTTCAGTCACAAGATATTTTGGTTTGTTTTGTTTTTGTTAACCTTCGACATTTTTCAAGTCTCTACTGAAGTATGTGCGTGTCGATACAGATGGCAACCTGAGAGACAAGTTTTATCCTCAAAAAGGAAAACTTGTTAACAAATGGCTTTTAAAGTTTGAAGGAAAAGAGAGGAAAACATATAGAAATTTATGACTCAAAATTTAACTCCTATTCTGTGGAGCTCAATAACACACATTGTGACAGTACCAGAACATGCGCAGTTTGCTGTAGAGAAATGCATATTCGTTGACACAACTTGTAGCCTTTTGTCTTGTTAAAATTGAGTTAAGGAATAAATAATTCATTTTCTTAGTGCTATAATTCCTTTAAGCCTTTAAACTGGCATCACATAGGAACTTAAAGGAACAAAAGTTTAGCTTAAAGACAATATAAACAATGCACAGTTAACAAATAATGATATTCGAAGCAGGAAAAAGTTCTGGAAACTGAGGCGGAAAGTGTCTCCTTACCTGAGATTAAAATCTCTTTTGTTACAAATAAGAACCAAAAAAGGAAACTTTTTGTTGGAGAGAAACGCATATTCGATGACAATCAGGACAAGATCAGACGTCTGTGGAGGTTGGGGAATTGATCGCTGGTCTTGTGATGCTTGGGGTACCTGTTAGGGCCTGCATAAGGTAATCCGGATTAAAATATAGACATTAATAACAAAAATAGCAAGGAGAAAAGCGACTTGATGAAACAAGTGGGAAACCTGAAGTCGCTTTTCTCTTTGCTGTTTTGCTATTAATGTCTATATGCCAGAATCTCGCCAGAACAACGCGTCACCATTTAATCAATTGCCAGAAGACGACGTTTATTTAGTGAAGGTGGGAGGAGCTAGAACAACAGACTGGTAACGCGCTATATATTTTTCCTTCCCTCGACTCGTGATTCGCGCTTGTCTCGCGCTTCGCGCAAAATGCTGCCGATCCGTTCGCCTCGCTATGGCTCATAAAGCGCCTAGTACACGGTAGTCTGAATGGCATATATAACTGCGTGTCATCAGCATAGGCATACGCAGAAGGGAGGTGCGAACGAAGGACCTCAAACAACTTGCTAGTATAACTAAGCGTAAAGCATGAACCCTTTGGAACATCGCGTTGTAAAGCAAATCTGTTTGAGAGTTCCTTTAACAGAAATACGCTGCGCTCTTCTCTCTATAGGTTCTCAATTCGCATTTCGTTTTCGTATTTATCGGCGCGAAAACGGATATGAATTTCCTTTTTTGTTTCGTGTTTGCATTGCACTGGAAAACGAAATTCGTAGTTCGTTTTCCTTTGTTACTGGAGAAACGGACCTACAACTTCCTTTTCTGGTATTTTGTCAGTTTCCACTTTCGTCAATTAAAAACCCCTTCCTGTTGACCCGAGAAGGCTTGGAAACCAACCATTTGTTTTGGCGGGAATATTACAGATTAAGATAGATTTAGTCGGCATTTAAAAAAGGTGTTCGAGATAAAGAGTCTTAAATAGCATAGTTTTTTTTCTTTTGTTCCTTTCGCTGGAAGTTCTTTTTTTTTGTTAAAAAGGTGACGTTGAAAGCTTGTGTTTAGTTCTTTTAATGAGCTTGATCCGTTGACCTCAGTGTATTGCCTCACTAGGCTTCCTGCCATTACTTGACGAACATGGAGATGTACGGTCAGTACCGATATAGTGAAAAGGCTTTTGCGCCGTCACGAAAACCGCACACCTGGCTTCTGTTCACACATAACAACGGTGATTTCAGCGCCATTTCTGTAACGGAACAAAACTTTTTCACGCCGTCATCTCTAAAGTGTAGAGTCACACATGATAGTGTTCATACTATACCCTAGAGCCTTTCTTGACACCAAAAGCTTTCCAGTATCAGCGGCGGATCCAGGGGTGGGGCCTGGGGGCCCGGCCTCCCCTGTTTTTTGGACTAAACTGAGGCCCGAAGGGCCGAAAAAAAAAGGCCGCCCCCCTCCTCATCTCAGGGTCTGGATGACCTGCCCCCCCCTAATCTGAAGGTCTGTATCCACCACTGGGTAAAGCGTGAAGATTGCCTTACTCGACAGTTTTTATTGCCTCAAGAAGCATGTCAGTTAATAACATAGATTTATAACCAGAGTACTCATGACGCTCATTCCTGACAAGAAGCAGACTGATACCCGATATCCAGTGCTCCATCCCAAACTGCTATTTCCCTCGCGGAGACTAAAGGCCGATACACACGAGGGGTTTTGCTTCCGGAGCATGCTCCAGGATCATTTTGCACGTGTCAGTACACACGAGGAAGCGTTATTTTCCCCGGGAGCTTGCTCCCAAGTATTTAACCGGTTAAATATTGTGGAGTATTTTGCGGGGTGGAAATTCTGCTCCCGAGGATGAAGTATACCCATGAAATCGTTGGTACACACGGAGGAGCTTTGCTCCCGGAGCGTGCCCCTGGAGCATGCTCCGGGAGCAAAACCCCTCGTGTGTATCGGCCTTAAAGAAGAGGTTCGTACATGAATGGTAAATGGTGCAAATCTAGGCTATTTAGGTTCTTTTTCCAAAGAAAAAATGCATTGTAGCGAAGAGAATTTAGAGGTATTCGGGCTCCCAGCACTTAATATTTAAAATTTGCATAACAAAATAATAACGTTTTATTCAAAATGACTAACATAAGAAAAATTAAAGCTGTGACTGATCACATGAATTTTGAAGTCCTTCTTCAGTACATACATGAAGGCTACTTGATTTTAGAAAATAAGAACCTGCTTCAAATTTTAGATTAAATAGGTTATTGTATAGGTGGTATAACTGGCCATTTTCGTTTGAGCCTGCCAGGGTTAACAGGACGGGACAAAATAGCAAAATGTGCGGAAAAAAAAACTGACAGGAAAAATAAATTACGGATTCCATTCTCTAGTGCCATAAAAATTCCACAAACACGAAGAACGAATGATGATGAATCAAGCGTTGATGTATATAAGCCCAAAGGAATAGGGGTACAATAATCGACTTTGGAATTGTAATAAAGACCAATAAAGGCATGAAGTATCCTTTCACAGTTCGATTGCGACAGAAGATCTACGAATTCTGACAACGTTCTTAATACAATACAATACTGTTTAATTCATGATCTTTAACAATAATACAAAAGTGTATAAATACACAAAAACGAGAAGATGAGAAAATAATAATAATAATAATAATAATAATAATAATAATAATAATAATAATAATGATAAGAATAATAAAAAACAAAATACATCATGGAAAGGAAACAAGGAGAACTTGAAGATGTTATTTACTTGTGACTGTCTACAGTCACTTCAAGCGGCAGGCGTAGGACGTGTAAAATACTGCACCACCGACCCATGCCCTTGTTGTTCAAACGTAATAAGATCACTTCCATATTTGCATGTTTCTACTAGACGTTATGAATTCAATAGTGGAAGTAGCCAAATGTCCCTAACCTATTCGTAATCCAATTGGTAAAGCTTTCACTGACGCCTTTCGCGTACGCCTCATTACATTTACAACATTGCAATAGGAAGAAAGTCCAAAGAAGTTAAAATGATTTGTGTTACACAAGTAATCCTATATAATACTGCAAGTAATTATAGTTATCCATGTGGAGATTATTGTTGCTGATGTTTTTGTAGTGTGTGTGTATGTGTTTATTTATGTCAATCTAAGCGGGTTCTTTCTTTTACTTAGGGGCTATGTCACGCTATTTGCTGTCTTTTAAAAAAGGCGAGGGTAAAAATATTTTTCGCATGTATTGATTCCAAAAATAGCGGTTATTTAGGAATTGAAACTGTCGTCTGCAAGGAATAGCTAGAATGGGCAGGGTTGAAATTTACAAAGCTGTGCCACATATAACCCCTTAACAGGGTTCTGAATAATACTCTTCAAGTTTTACCCACAGGTGTCGCATTTACTAATTCATAAAGGTCTTCTTTATATGTCGGTATTCCATTTCTTAATCCCAACTTCCGTTCTCTTGAGCTACAAATATTGTTAGTTAACCTCTCTTTGGAGTAAGAACTGAATCCATGATTAAAGCAGAATGAAAACCAGCAATTGTTTTAGTCAAATAAACACTGCTCGTTTATTGATTCATCGATGATTCATTTTAAAAATCCTCAGTGAAGCATGAATAACAAGCTACTTTTTGTACTATGTAAACGTCTTAAGTGCCCAATTTTTAGACTGAAATAATTTTTTTTACGGCGGGGGGGTGGGGGGTTAAGAGTAGTTTAAATAGTATCACTTTTCCGACTATCATTAATCGCAACCAACAATTCGTCCAAGAACTACTATCTCTATTATGGAAAGACACAGTTCCTCCGACTGGTTTAAGGTATAAGTACGAGTATGTGCCTTAATGCTGGGAAAGGATTTTTCATTTTGTTTTTCCTTGTCCATATATTTAAGGAGCTTTTGGTTTCAGGTAAGATTACGCTTTCATGACCCTGATCATTTTCACGTTTTGGCGAAGCAGAAACTTTTGTTGATTCATTTCAGCTTAGTTACATTACTTAGTGTGCCCTTCAAAAAGTAGTAGATCTAGTCGTGGCGAGGAAAGATGAACACATATACACTCCAAAAATGTGTTCAACGATTCTTGATTATTGTCCTTTGGTCAGTAATATAATCAGGATCTGCCATATCGAAATTTGGTTTTTATTGAATTCCGTTTACTACAGTAGCCATTCAAGTTTCAAAAGCTGACTTTTCCACAAACTCTGAGGGAGGGCTGCCTCTCAAGAAAAGATCCCGAGTTAAACGACTGTTGTGATGCAACCAAATTTTGTATCTCATCCCCGACCCTGCAACACAAGCACCATAGTAACTAGCCTCCCACGTAGACGATCTTAGGGGTTCGTCACACGTTCCTACCCCACTAAACGAACCCCTAAAACTTCTGCGTGGGAAGCTACATCCCCCTCGTTAGAACTTGAAACTTGTTTCAAACGTGCCTCAGAATGACGTTATTATTATAAACAGGTTGGAGGGGGAAGATCACCTTCAGCAGAATAGGGATTCGAAATTCTGTATGGTTCTTCAAATCTATCCAAGTATACTTCAGAAATCCTATCATTTGAATCCAAACGCCATTTACATTGCTGATGTCGTCTCAATGTCCTCGGTATCCTCGATTTGCAAACATTCCTTTGAGGAAAAGTACATGATCTAATAGAAGGTCACCTTGGGCGTCTATTTGATTTTAATTAAAAAACCCAAGCAGGTGCTGATCAAAATCCTAAAAACGAATATACTTTCGGCATCTATTTCAACACAGTACTCTACATTTATCCAGTCCATCTGATTGTTTACGCTTTTAAATCTAGACCCGTATCGTTTTCTTGCTTAGAATGCTCTATTTTTGCCGAAAAATAAATAAACACAGGCTACCTTAATATTGCCATTCTTAATTATGGATTCTCAGACCGTTTAATATTTTTGTGCATTTTATCCAACAGGTGATGGTAAGAAGTTTACTTCTAAACCAGATCAGCCCACCAAGGCTTTCATCGGAGGCAATGTTTCGTTAGTTTGGCGCTACTATCAGCCATCGCATCTTACTCTCAAAAAGGTGGTGTTTGGCGAATGGACAAGCTCACCCGGCTTCGTTTTTCCGAAAATAATGACGATTAATACGACAGCAAAAAGCACCAGTTTTTCACCAGGCCGTTATAAATCCAGAGTTAGTTGGGCGGGAAACTTTTCGGCTTCCCAAGTAGCGTTCGTTTTGCATAATATTCAACCAGCAGACGATAAAGTGGTATTCGGGATACATTTAGAGTTTGGGTACATGCATAACCCGCTACTAGGCTATGTCCAGATGAAAGTCGAGAAAAAACGTATGTAATATGTTTATGCAATCTTTATCCGGTAACATTTCCATACGTACCTTGTATGCTTGCAGTTAAAATAACATAAGACCACCAAAAAAAAAACCGACAACAAAAAAGCAGCATTTCAAGAAAGAAATGATATTGTAAATACTCAAATTGATTAGTGCCCTCCTTCGAATTATTAGCGGCTTTAGCGCGCCACTGTAAGGCTAAAAAAAGTCAGTTATTTAACTAAGTGCCCTTTCAAATTAGCACTGCTGAACCCTTCTCCAAGAGAGAGAAAAATCACGATTATTGCGGGCGACAAGAGGATCCCGCAATCCTAATCTCCAGCTTGTTATTACGCATGCGTCACATGTATGTAGCCAGCATTCGTTTGGACTTCCAATGAGAATGATCTTGAATGGAATGGAAGGGCTTCCCGGTTGCCGTCCCTGGCTGGTTATGAAGAATAAGCCGAGGGATTTGAGTCAATCAGAAATTTAGGAATTTTTTGAATGAATAATAATTATGTTATTTGATGCCTAGCGCTTCGAGGTTTGGACAGTTTTCAAATATAATCGTACGAGAACAAATCTCTGGCTTTCAGCTTACCTGGTGCCTGAGTTAGAAACTGTGCAATGGATGATTTGTTGCTTAAAATCGGCTCTTTCCTGAACCGATCCATAAATACAGTGTTACCGTCTTGCCTCTTTGTTTTACGCTCAGACAGGTAAACGTCTAATGCAAAATTCGTCAAATTGCTAAAATTTACGACTTCCCACGACATTTTAGGCAAAAATACGCTTATTTTGATCTATATTGCGATAATACGAACCCTTTTTTGATTTTTCCATACATTTCTTCTAAATTCAGTATAAGGTACTGATGAATTGTTACAGTTTGTATGGACCACCTGTGCTGCTTTTGCCTGTTTTTGATAACCTTAAGTCAACTACACATATTGAACTCTTATGCACCGGCGGAAACATCATGAAATTTGTGGGCTGGAAAAAATTTATTATGGATATAATAACAAGTTTCCTTTTCTCTTGTTTTCTCGGAATTTCTATAGCCGTTGCCGACTTGCCAAGAATCATAAACATTACTAAACCACCCCTCCTAACACTTGGAGCAGATGTGACCCTCAGTTGTGTTGCCAAGGGGCTATCTCTTCTTAATGTCACATGGTACAAGGGTGGAAAGGTCATGAGTCACCATTATGGCAACCGTACTTCAAAAGCGGTGCTTACGTTGTATAACATCACCAGAGAAGACTGGGGAGAGTACGTTTGTGTCGCCAAAAACTCCGTTGGTGAAGATTCGAAAACTGTTTTCATCAGAAGTGAGTATTTTTTAAAGGGTACATTCAAAATATAGATTTCTGTGGTAACCATGCCACTTTCCGAGTAAAGGATGAATATGGTACTGTTTGTGTACTGAGTATACAAAGAATTTCTTAATAACATAGTGGAAGGGGGGTGGGGGAGGAGGGCGGAGCAGGGAAAAGTAAGGAGGAAGGGGGATGTCAAAGGGGGGATTTCAAGCTCTTAACGTTTCCGTGTCAAAATTATTGCTAGCGCAGCCTTGAAAAATAATAATAAACTCTGGACATGTTTCTAAAACGCTCCGTATTTTTAAAACTGCAAGGAGGTGCCTCAGTGCGCCGACAAAACAGGCGAAGGACAGTTCGGGAAATTGAAATTTCTTTTTGTCTGAAAACCTTTTTCTCAGGGCTGAAAAGGATCAATCGGTCAAACAAGTCCTGTTTTCAGTGTAAACCTACTGAAAAAGAACCCAGTAAAGATGCCTTCGATTGATCGTCTTCCGGAATGAGAATACACAAACGTTTTGTTACAAATCTCTTCTACCAGGAGAACATTTTGGACCATTCAAAACGAATACAAAACCATCAAAACTGAGGATTAATACTTTACCCTACCATCCAATTTCGGCAGTAGTTGGCTTTTCCACACGCTAGATATTGTAATGCAATTAATGCCAAAACAGGTGATTTCTAGAGGTTATTCCATTTATTCTACGAAATCAATCGGTCACGTCCTAAATGGTCAAATATGTGAAGTAAAAATGAGAAGTAACCTGGTAAAATATGAGGATTTTGTCTTTGTTCCACGATCGTTACATGACAATATCGTTCCCTATTCATCTAGTTTCGAGCTTGACCTTGTCATCCTTTTTAAACACAAGAAATTTGTATCCCCTTTAAAAGTTGATTATGTACCGCTGGGCAAATGGTATTAAGGTCAACCTGTTTTTGATACGAAAAAAACTGATTAATAATTAAATTAATAAGTAAGTATACAGGCATTAAATAATAATAATAATAATAAGATGATGATGATGATGATGATGATGATGGTGGTGGTGGTGGTAGTGGTGGTGTACATGTTGGCGATGATGATAACAAAAACATTTGTGATTACTGGGTAATTTAAAACATCTTAATTCCCAGGCTAACTATTTGTACTAGCTCAATATTTGTTGTTAATGGAAATACTCCGTTGTTCATACTACACATAAACCGAAATTAATTGTTATTGATAAGCAAATGACTTCCTTTATCGTTCAAGTTCTTCCCTCAAGCCCAACGATTCTGCATACAAACACGATTGCTCGCAATAAAAGCTGGGTCCTGAGGTGGTCAGCGGTCTACAGCGAGGGGCACTTGGTGAAGACATATACAGTGTGGCACCAACTCTGGCACATAGTAAAGGACAATATGACTCGCAAGGAATCCTGGTTACGAGAGAATATTACTGGCTTTGTGTACCGTAAAGAACTAGCCGCTGACACGCGTTATTTGTTCGCGGTAACAGCTTGGAACAAATGGGGCGAGAGTGAATTGGAGATTGACAAAATACTGAACATATCAACGAAGTTTACAGATGCATTCACTCATCAGATAGAGAGAACAACAAATCTACTAGGTATGAATGACTGTGAATCACAGAAATGGGTATCCTGCGATGATGCCCTCTCCCTTTATGTCTGTAATCTGTTTTCGGGAGAAGGGCATGATACATTTCTTTTACAAATCACATGCAAAAAAGCCAGAATCTGGACTTTTTTCTGATTGGATAGAAAACAATACGGATGATTTGCGCTGCTCAGATTGGCCAAAACGCCACCAGCCGTTAGTTGTTGTTGATTTCAGTCTGCATTTTTGCTTGGGTAATGAGCAGTGAATACACACGTGAGTTCGTTATGAAATTTCTGCCGGCTCAGTTTTCTTGAATTTGAAGAATGTCTAAGAAGAAATTTCATCCATTGAAATATTTTCCATTTCATCGTATACTAAAAATTGCAGTAAAAAATTCACCGATCATTTGAATGCAATTTGATACCGGCTACAAGTTACAGAAGCGACAAACGGGTTCACTTTCAAATAATCAATTCATGACTGGAATCTTGACCTGGTTTGACTGCAATTCCTCTTTCAGAAACCAAGAAAAGGAATTGCGTTTTCTCTCTACAATAACAGAAAAAATGTAGTAACTACGGTACTTGGCACAGAAAAGCACTATAGCCTGGCTTTATTTTGATTATTCTAGTATTTAGCTCGGGTTTCTGAGCCACTTCCAAAGACCAAACGTAAAAGGCAAAACTTTCCTATTTATACGCAGTTCATCAGTTCATGTAAGGAACTCCACTGACCATGTCTGATGGCCTATTTTATTTATCTGTTGTCAGCTACAACGAAGCCACAGTGGACTGGAACATCAACAATTGCAATCTTGATGAGCAACACGAAAAATGAGGAGAAAAATGATTCCATCCCTATAGAGGCCTTAATTGCCTTCTCAGCGTTTCCTGTAGTTGTAGCATGTGCTGTTTGGTTTGTTTGCTATTTTAGGCGAAACAACGCTCCCTGGAAAAATCCAAGTAAGTTAAACCGGAGTAATTTTCTGTACGCGTTTCCTTTTTCAAGCGCCGGAATTTTTCAATTAGACGCAGTTACAGGGCAGTAAAACCTTTACTGCTGATGGATGCACGATCGAGGGCGAGTGTATCCTTGCCTAAAAGGTGCACAATATAGAATGTGGAACATCTTTATTTGTGTTAGGCCCAAGGGTCACCCACCTACTCGAGTAACCCTGGGCGAGCCAAACGTACACGCGTATTGTTTCCATGCAATGCGAAAAGGTTGGCTTGGCTAGAGGGGTGACCAGCCTAACTGGATGATGATGGTATCAACCTGCTACTATGTTACCTGGTTATCCCTATAGTAGGACGTTACATAGCGGAAACAGTTTCTGTCAATTGCCAATCCTCTAACTTCTGTTAGGGACAGTGTCGAGAAGTGTTGTTAATTTGGATCAAATTAAATAGGAAAAAATGGACGTGACAAGCGAGTTATCATTCTTAATGAAACTGATTTGCTTTTATGAAAAGAGTTACACCTACAAAAAAGTTTTAAGTGAGAAAGTTTAGGCCTCTTTGTACCCGTCCTCCTTCCTACATTAACTGTTTCCCTTGACCCAGGCCATTCCTTAATTCACCCGAGCTTCTAATCTACCCGGGATTAGAATCTTTCATAAATCCCGCATAAGAATTTGATTAAAATTCCTGCAACATAAATTGACTGTTTTAATTTTTTTTCGATTTTAACAGGGCACCAGCAAGGGTACGTATTTAAATTAAATTTTTTTGCAATGCATACACGATTCGTTACCTTCCTTTTAACTTGAGGACCCTCCATCAGCAAATCAGTCACTGTGAATGACGCCTACGTACAATTATTTGCCATGGGTCATCTACACTGTAATAGACCTTGTCTTGGTTTTGGAAGCTTTTTTGACGAGTAAAACCGCGTGAGAAATTATTTTACTTTTTTTTCAGAACAGGCTTTTTACGGAAATGATTAGATATTAGATTCTCATACAAACACTGTCAGTAATTTTTTACGCGGTAATGCCTACTCGTCAAGATGGCTTCCAAAACCGTGACAAGGTCTATTAATTTACTGTGGTTTTTTCCGCTATCAATAATCTTTGAAGTGTAGCCAGTTGTTCAC